TGCGTTTTAAATGGAACAGCTGGTCTCAATGCCAAAAATGACAACCTAAAGGTGGGTTTCCGACGGACGCCGCGCGGCATTGTCGCATTGGAAATTGCACCCGGAAATATCCCGCTCACCAGGGATATTTCCACTTTTCAATTTTTGAAAATTACGAGGTAAATTTCCAGTTAAATATGCACAAGGGAAATTTCCACAAAAATCAAATTTCAACACACACTTAAATAACACAAAAATAGCTGCGTTTGTTGTTTACGAAATCCTGACGTCACGAGCGCTGTCATATTGGTTTTGTGATTGAAGCCTCGCCTTTCGCGCCAAAGTTTTTGATTTGATTTTCAATAATTATTTTTTCGTACAAAGTATTAAAAAAAAACTATGTAATATCTGATCACTAGAAATATCTAAAAAAAAAATAAATTGAGAAATATGAAAATTCCTTATTGAACTTGATCTTGAAAAATATACCCACAAGTCAACAAATACCATTTGACAACGTAATTAAACAATGTCCTCTCATGTTACGTGTCTAATTTTCAGTCAATCAAGTTAGGAGATTGTTCGACATATTTTTGCTGCCTTTAGTCGTTTATTACTCTGTCCTTGCCTGATTCTGCCTAGCACTGGAAAAAAGGGAACTACTCCATAGTATAAAATCTTTAATATATACATATTTCACATAACAGTTAGAATAATTATTCTCCATGAAGATATCCACAGCTTCTGGCGATCTCTGAAAATAAGATTGATTTGAGATAAGATAATATTGTATAAAGCAAAATAATTATTTTTTTTTTTGAGTTTTTACTATTTTGTTCTCTGTTCAGTGTTCTGTTCTGTAGGAATCAGGTGAATCAGAATTTGTTTTCCCTATTTTTGCAGAGGTTTCCATTGTGCAACTTTGAAAACATCAGGTTTCCAGCCTTAAATAACACGAAGATTTAGATAGGATTAGAATGGGAAAATGTAAACAAATATTAGTAGAGCTAGGAAATTGTTTAAATCAGACAATGAACTTAAGTCAATTGTGGCACGAAAATTTGAATGTTGAGTATTGCATGCGCAATATGCATTGATTCAAACTGTCCAAAAATAAACGAAAAATCTCCTAGAATTCGGTTCGTGCAACCAGAAATTCTACTGTTTGAGGAATTTTTCTTTTTCTAGAATCACGCAGAAGAGAAGCCACGTTATAGTTTTCTTCTGAGGCATTTTGCCAATTTGAGTGAATATTTGGGAAGAAATTGAGTCTTAAACGGTGGTTATTATTCTTATATAACACCACAGCAAGTATTTGCAACAAGATTTCAGTACGTAAAAACCCAAATTCTGGAAAATAAGTTTGATTCGTGTCACGTGTTGAGTGTCGAAAAGGCCAATCCACATTGGTAAGTCCCTATTATTCATCATTTTATTTTGTATTCTGATCCCTGTTAGAGTTTTATGTCCCCAAAAACGTAATTGATTGCAGCACTTACCTTAATTCTTGTTGAAATCGAGTTTTTATAGTGTGAACTCTCTCTTTCATGCCTTTTATATTGGGTAACGTTACATCCCTTTCTGCTGTTGCTGTCATAAGATGCACAAAGGCACCTGATTGCTGATGCTCAATCCTGAACCTGATAGATTGCTTGGGCCTGTGAATCTCAATCGTCCCCCAAGAGGTTCCTAGTAGTACCACTCCATCAAATAACTACATAATCAGGTTTGCGTATTGTTGTGCCGTTTTGGGAACCATCCACCCTGTCTGTATTAAGGGTTTCACCATCTCCTTGAGAGCTGGAGCCTCTCACCTGCAACCACTTGTACCTACTCTTCAATAATATAGCCAGTTGAATTACCACTACCTGTCTTAAAAAATCACCCTATAATCCTCTAAGTTTAAGTTAAGTTAATTTTACGTTAACTTACCATATTATTTTGATTTCCTGGAACATTCCAAGTAATCCAAATTAGTGTAAAAACACGTCTAACACTCACAATCCGCAATTATTGGATCTGTACACCAGGTTTAAATAGATCTATTTACGACGGTATTCTGAGTATTTTGGTATTGATTTAAGGGGCGTGAACCGTACTTAATTATCACCCTTCACTTATTTGAACTCAATGAATGTATTTAGGAAATTAATTATAACTTTTGATCATCATAATGAACCAGAATGTAAGGTAAGGTTTGGGAACTTCAAGACCGTTTTCGTATTTCTGTGTAGGTAGGTATTTACCGGCACGTTGGTTCTTGATCAAGGACGTGAGAGACGGCCTACTCAAGCCAAGTAACGTGGTGTCGGGTTGGAGATTGGATGGGTGACCGCAGTATTACAGGATGGTAGGTCGCCCGCGCTGCAGCTAATCATCGGATATACAAGTATGAATGAGAAGGAGTAGAGCCCACACAAATGAAATACAAAAAGCCTATAAAGGCTGCAGTGTAGAGTATGGGCTCGAAAGGGTGAAATTAAAAAAAAAAAAGGTAAGGTTTGGGAACTTCAAGACTGTTTTCGTATTTCTGTGTAGGTAGGTATTTAGTTTTGCTGGCTTTATTTTTATTATTTACAAGGGTTGAACCCTGAACCCCGAAGTTATTATAAATAAATATAAATAATTCAATTTTGGTGTTTATCAGCTGTTTGCTGCCTTTAACAATAATAATTCTTTTGGCAAATAAAAATCATGCACCAGAGTGGATTTTAGGCGCTTTCATTTCATATTATTTTGTGATGCCCATTTAGGTTTTTGCAGTGCTTCCAATTAGGATTGAGTGTTTCCTGTTTTTGGTTTATGATCGGTAGCTTCGGTTGACTGCAGGGAAGTAAAACAGGTGGCGCCTTTTTGAATTTACCCACCCCACTCTCCGATGTGAGAGTTAGTCGGACACCCTAAAAACGAAGCTTTATTTGCTCGATGTTGGTTATTGGAGAACCTCAGTCACCTTTTTGTGTAATAATAAATTAGTTTGTCCAGTTTGCAATCTAATAAATAATTCAAAAGGAACTTATTATTTTTACTATATTTACACAATAATTAATCCTAAACCTTTTATATTGTATAAACTATTTCCTATACTCATCCAAATTATATAGTTAGTGTTAAGTATCCTTTCTTGTTATTAACCACAGACACGTATTACAATGCTCTACAAAAATGTCCAAGTATTGAAGACATTTATTTGTGCAAAATGGAACTATTGAAACAAGATGAGCCCTGTGTTCACGATATTGTATCTAGTGAACAACAATTATGCTCATTCGCGAAAATTCAATACGAAGAATCGACAGTTGATAATCAAGTTTTGATTATTCCAAAACGACATGTGACAGTAATGCTGCAATGTGACTAGAAGAAATACATGGAAATCATTTCCAGTCCAATCGTAATTTCCAAAGGTAAATGTTCAATAATAATTAACAATCGAACATTTTTGGAAGACATGCATGAGAACTTCAACCTAGAACTTGAACTACCCATCATCGACATTCCTGAACTAGAGCAGTGGACCATGAAGCTCTTCAATCAGCGATTAAAGAAGCAAATAAATTAAAGACTGACCCATTAAGAGTTAAATTTTGAAGACAATAATGTGTCACTGTCAACCTATATTATAATCACAGTAATAAATTCTATTTTTAAAACAATTATTCTTATTCTATATTTTAAAGGAAAATGTAGTAAAACTAAGACTGAGGTGCAGATTGAATTGCCCAACATGTAAGTCAATCCCAATTTGCAACCATTTAAGGAGGGAGGAGTTATATTATAAAACCTTATGTTATTATTATACAAATAATTCTCCTTTTCAATGTTAAATATAAGCATACGCCACTGTAAAAGCCAACGTTATTATAAAGATGATGAGTAAGGGGTACTGCCTGGAAAAGTACCGTCATATCGAGGTCAGCAATATTTCAATATAAATACGGCGCGCAGAGCCTTCTTTCCTCATTCTCTTGTTTTGTAGCTTAGACTATAGCAATAAGAATCAAAGATTCTTTTGTTCTCGGCTTTCGCCGCAGCAATTTAGAATTTAGTATTTTTCGAAAATATAATTCGTATAATAATCAATTGATTGAAAAGTCAACCACAAACCGTCAAACGGAATAAACGACGTGGCAAATTGAACTCCAGATTTTTAGGACTTTTTACTTTTTATCTTTCAGTTACACGTTAGAAAACAATAAAATTGAAATTGAAAATCCTAGTATAAAACCGAAGGAAATTGTATGAGACCAAAATTAAGTAAAAATCATTGTTACAGATGGATTCGATTGATTCGAATCCACAGCTTCGGAGGAACAAATGTCCAGGAATCTTGCCTTATAAATTGAGCACTGCAAAAATGGCACCTTTGATACGAATCCATGATTTAACGCCTCTAAATAATGAGTTTTACCTAGTCAAACATAATGCGAATTACATATTTATTCAAAAATACATATGGTAAATAATAGGTAGGTATACTTTTTAGGCAAAATGTAAACATACTTCACTCCTTTATTAGCGTTATATAGCGAAGGAAATCACTAGATCTATTCGGATAAGTAATAAAATGTACCATTGGTAAATCTAGATAAAATGGACGCAAAAGACACGAAAGTAAAATCATTTGCTCATTACCTTAACCTGCATAACATCACCGTGTTTTTGCTGCCTAGCCTTAAAAGTTTGTGGCGTCGAAGCCTACATATATTCCAGTCGGGCTTGGAAACCCCTATATTTTATTCCAAGTAAAATCGAAACTTCCCTAAGTACAAATAAACTTCTAATACCTTTAGCCAGCAACTAAAAGTCTGTCGGCATGTCATGTCCTACCATTTATCACCAGCATTGAAGCCTCTTTGAAGGGTTATGTTAAAATACCCAACAAACAATCTCCTTATCTTAAATCAAAAAATCACAGACCTTTAAAATAAAACTCATTCGAACAGCCGATGACATGCGTCTCCGCTCAACCAAAACTCTTCGTCAGTTTTCATCTCGTCGAGATCCAGTTGTTTCCCCGACTCCGTTAAATTTGGAACAGCATCCCTCTGTGCCACTTTTCAAATTTGCGCGTTTTCGGCTAACGGACTATACTGCGCGAAAAGTTTTAAAATACCAACTTTAGTTCAAAAATTATCTGGATTTAGTTTATTATGGAAAAAGTACAACAAAACTTTCTTGTATGATGCATAATTTAATGATGTTTGATGGATTTTTGATTTTAGCTTTTTTAGTATTTGGTAAGTTTTTTGTTAATGGATGTGGATTTAGGTACCTCCTTTTAGTGATGAGGTTGTGGATTCACAAGCAGATGTTGTATGGCAATTATTTTTCATACAATTTTATTAACTTTCGATTATTAAAATTTCCAAAAATGTAATTAAATATTCCAAGTTCAATCTACTTCGTTTCAAACTTGATACCTTGTCTAATGGCTAAATGTTTTTTATCCAAACAAACTTTCCTAATTATTTCGCGGCCCACGATTTGTTTGTAATCAATTCGAATTTATTAAAATCCAACTTTCAATTTTCTTCTTCGCTTCAAGTGGTCTTAAAAATGAGAATCGGTGTGAAGAGAAGTAATAATTTATCGAGTAATTTATTTAGATCAAACCCCTGACACCTTGAAAATATCCTTTGAGATTTCACAGAAAATTTATTCCTCATAAAAAAAAAACCGATAAAAGTATGAAAACACAAAAAATAACATTTGCAAGAAATACGACACAAAGAAAACCCACTGAGAAATGAATTCTTAAGAGATGTTTTCCCGAAAATGAAGTTAAAAGTCTAGACGTTATTTTGCAGTGTAGATGGAGAGATTTAGATTTAAATTATGTTCTTTCGTAATGACTGATGTTGTCATTAAATCTCATCCAGAAGAATATATTCACAATTTTTTAAAATTTTATCGTAACCAAGTTGAAAGGTTTTTAGGAAAATAATGTTAATTCGAAAAGACTTTTTAATAAGTGAATAATGTATATGTACTGAAATTAGGTAGGGAATTTTCATATTTCAAATGTGACATAGGAAGACTTATTAAACTTAAATGTTTTTCATTATTATGCACATACACTTTTTAACTTTTGTGAATAATCTCACGATCCTGTCTTCTAGGTATAGTTTTTCGGTTGAGTAAAAAATAGTTATTTATGCAACAAGTGTGTAAAGTGATTGTCGCACTCGCCTTCGGCTCGTGCGTCAAAATTCACATTCGTGAAAAAAGGTACTTTACGCTTTTCTACTACCAATCAAATATGTGTAAAAAAATAAATTTGGACAAATACTTTACGCACTAGTGCGTGAAGAATTTTCACTTTACGCACTAGTGCGTGAAATAATTTACCAGAAAAATGCCAAATTGACAGTGTCGACAACTGTCATGACATTACTTTACACACTAGTGTGTGAAGTGAATTACTTTACGCATTAGTGCGTGGAGTGAAATTTTACGTCTTCTGAATAGTGCGTAAAGTGAGTACTTTACGCACGGTAGTAGAAAAAATTATTTATTTATTCATTTGTTTATTGCACTCTACATAATGTACTCAAATATTACAACTTACAGAGTACACTTAAATGTTATGATCCATAATAGATAGAGGTATGCAGTATACATCGTTCTTGAACCTAAACCATTATTATTAACTAAAAAAAACAAAATAAAAAGTGATTTCAATTCGTGTCTCAATTAAGTTTCCACTTCGGTAAACTTTGTTTTTGAAAACTATTTATTTTCAAAACTAAGTATTACAAATGAAAACTTTAAACCATTCTAAGTGAAACAAATTACTGAAAGGAAATCTCGAAAGTAAATGAATGCTTTACAGTAGCTGCGTGCCTATTTCATAATAAAATAAAAGCTAGGATGAGCAAGATAGATATTATTGTTTTGAGGAAACAAAAGTGTCTTTATTGGGTTAGAATATAATTCCTCCCCCCTTAGGTGGTTGCAAATTAGGGTTGATGTACTAAGTAAGGCAACTCAATTTGAACCTCAGTTTTTACATTTTTCCTAAAGGATAACGCACACCTAACATGCACCGCACTTGTTAGGTTAATAGCTATTTCCGTGAGTGTGAGCGTGCATTTGATAGTGAGCGAGATATCTATGTCAACTGATTTCCCCCTCTTAAACTTACAGTCTACTCCAGGCTAGAGTAGAAATGGTAAACACCGTTATTTCCAAATAACAGTTTCAGCTGTTACTGTCATTTTCAATTGACGTTTTCAATTAAAAGAGATGGACAATAAAGTATGAAAACAATCATTTTCCCGCCACATTTGCTTGCTTGTCAATGTCAAAATAGCAAACAGCTCCCGCGAACTAAACTTGAACGTGGATTACTTTGTATACTTGATAGGCCGTGGATTTCCTTTTTTTTTGCAAGTATTCTTTCTGATTTTATGTATCCAAAATTTGACAAAATGTAGGATTTGATGGCAACTTATGGAAAGACGTCCGCTGGTAAATAGGAATTATTTTCACAAAAAGGTACACTACACAATCACCATTGTTAGGAAAAAACTTTGGAAAAACCGAGGAAATAATAGTTTCCAGTTTCCACATGTACAAAAGTCTTGTCAACAAACCACTGTCAGCGGCTATCAACCGTTGTTTTCATACTCTTTTGGCGTCTGACAGTTTGACGCCAGAGAGAGAGGCTTTTAAATTGAAAAGGTCAATTGGCCGTCTACCCAACTTGGCGAGTATACAACGTTCATATAGTAAAATTATTTAAATAGTGTATGCACGTGATCAATGACGTCGAAATTATTGCCAATTGCAGTTTGTAAGAAATTAAAATTCGTTTCAAGCTGAGAGCTCATTCTCCTTTTTATTTAAACTTAGTTAAAAAAAGACAGAACACTGTTGGCATTTAACCGAATCGGCCGATAAAATGACATTTAGGTTGGCACTCATGGGTTACCTATGTTGCCAAATATTGCTGCAAATCTGCGGTTACTGATTTTAATAATTTGAAATTATTTCTATTTATGTACATATCTATAAAATGCCAAAGTCATTGAATAGTCAGAGTCAGAAACTCGTTGCGTCTCTAATTACTTTCTTTGAACAGGAACGAGATAATGGGGGCCCCTTTTAGTCATTAAATAGCGTTAGAGAGGTGAAGTATATTGATAGTATCAAATATAAATCTTCTGGGGCTTTAATTGGGAATATTTTTCAAGCGTGTTGCAGCTGCACTGAATATTGGTATAACCACTGTGAGTAAAATCTAATGTAAAATCTCTCAAAAAGTTAGGGATAATTTAGCGTTAAATTCACCAAAGAAAAAACGTCCACATATGAAACGTGTTACGAATCAAGATCACCTTGATGTTAGCTCTATTCGCAATCAAATTTACGACGAAAAGTGACTAGTTTTTTCAGATTGTGTTCATAATACACTATCTTTACATATAAAAATCCATGTTTGTTTGCTTTAGTGATAACAAATTTTACTAGACATGGTATGTCAAAGTAAAACGAAAGTTAATAGCGGCAACATTGCGACGTGCTTATGTCATTAATTTTGATCACGTGCATACACTGTTTAATTAATTTCACTATAGTACATATAAGCTACTCAATCCCACATATTCTGTCTTTTAGAAAATAAGTTGTGTCTGGCGGCTCTGGGCTCTTGGACTATAAAGTGCTTTCGGAAAATATACTAACATGGTAATCGCAATAGGCCGTATTTATAAAAAAGAGGACTTGCTTTTACTTGCAGAAATCGAAGCATTTACTTCATATTCTATTCATAAAAAAAAGAAGGAAAGGATTTGGACTTCTAGCAAAAAGGTATTGCTAAACAGAAGCAATTGCTTTAAAACTGAAGGTTTTGTTTCAGAAAATATGCATCTACTACAGAGCAGCTTCTGTGGCAAAGTATTCTTCACTTCATTCGTTTATATGCACTTCTAGTGCAAGGTATTTAGTTTTGGAGTGCGATCGTGATTTTGAATTTCCCATGGCGGATATGGTGCACGTACGAGCACAAAAAGTGTGCAAAGAAAGACATACTCTACGTCAGAGAGATTTTCGAAGCCTCTTTCGGTTTGACGAAATAAACGAGCAGTGGTTAGCCCAGCCGACTACTCCATTGGCGAGAATCTGGAAATCAGGGAAGGCGCGCTTTCACCAGTACAAAAAGTCTACAGTCTCCAGAATCGTCGCCACCACTCTCGATCTCATTCTGGATAGGGCGAATGAATGGATCAAGTTCCCATCTACCGATAATGAATGCCGCATAGTGAAATGGGCAGCGAGCAAAACGCATGTTGAAATTGAAAAGCCGCGTCAATTTGGCGATGAATATAGTATTAAGGTCTGGACACACATGACCGCACCGTATCCGCACCGCATCGCTGATGAATTGTACCGTGTTTTCTTATGTCGTAGTGTTCACATCTAAGCACCGTGCTCACGCCTCGCCCGAGTGGCGCCACCGCACCGCGTCCGTACCGTGCGAGATTAGTTTCATGTAATTTTTTACGGGCACGGGGCGTTGCAGGACGGACTCTTAGTATATTTTCAGTACGAAAAGAGAAACTAGCCCAAATAACTGCTTATTGCTGCCAATTCGCTGTTGGTGAAGATGGCGAGCATTTTAGCTTTTTTCACACACACTTCCAAGTGACAAACTACCGACCGCACTCGTAGTTCGTAGTACGACCGTCATGCGGCCGTGTGTTGGAAATGTGTGGCTTCTACCTTATTGAGCGACACACTGCCGTGTTACTGCACGGACTCGGTGCGGGCTCGGTGCGGATACGGTGCGGTCATGTGTGTCCAGACCTTTAATGGGTCTGCACAGAAATCACAAACCAGTCAGAGTGAATTTCATTGATTGGAACTAGTTTCCTGACTGTTTCAGACTGTTTTCCACCAATAAAGTTCGCTCTGGCTGGTTTGTGATTTCTGTGCGAACAGGCCCATTGTTCAAGCCACATGTGATCAAAATTACGTTTTCATGATTATCGATGCACGGTGGCCCGGCTCTGTACATGACAGTAGAATTTGGAAAAATTCTGCTCATGAAATCATGCGGCGGACGGTTATATAAATATATCAATTGCCCCTGTCTACCTTTTCCTTTTTTTGCGAGGATTTGCTTGCAAAGAAAAGGAAAAGATTATGAATACGAAATAAAGCAAAACCTTTTCCTTCTAGCTTCTCCTTGTGACCTCTTCCTTTTACTTCTACCTTTACCTTTGAAGGAAATGGA